GGCATTCCGAGGTACAATCCGGAATACCGGAATTCAAGAATAAAAAAAAAAGTGGCACTTCTACGCCTTCGTATATTTAAATCAGAACTGGATGAATTATGTGTTTCATGTTGTTTCAAATTGTAGTCGGGAGAATTCAATAAGCCATAAAATTCTTGAAAATGAAAATTTTCTTTGGCTGATATTTATTTCTATCATGAACATGTAAGTATATTTTGGCGAAACTAAATTTAACGTAGTTAATCCAGTGGCACCCAAGAGGGTTACTTGATTGATATTTATTTCAAAAATCATTTTGCTTCATTGTTTATAGTTTTATATATTCATAGGATTTGAAAACAGAAGATACAACTTTCTAGTTTCATGAGTTATTCTTTCGAATTTTGCTCAGTTTTCGAGAAAAAAAATGGCACCTGATATAAATTCAAATGTTGATGTTGCCTGGTCAAGATATTCATTTTGAATTCAAAAATTTGCCAGTCACCGACCACACAGCATTTTTGCATAATGAAAGCTTAAACTGGGTGATGATGGAAGAAGTCTAATATTATTTCTAATGTCGATATTGTCAACACCCTGTATCTCGAAATCAAAGCTCCAGAACATACAAGTTAGTATGAAATATTCCCTTTATTTCTGCGAGTACTATAGCAAAATTTTCCGATTGCAATCTGAACCACCCTATTATTGACTTTACTGTGATATTTTGACATTTGGATTGGAGTAAGTATATCTCTATCAACCGAATGTTTGGCATGTTGATGAATCATTATCATGGCCAACGAATAATGATGGAATCTGCACGAGTATAGCAAATAATTGGATTTAGCCGGCCTTTTCATTCCCGTTGGAATAGGAAACAAATCCTATTGATTTTGCTCTGATATATAAAATGGAAGAGTGGATGTTGAAAAATAAATCTCATAATTCAGAACTGAAATGAATGGAACTGCAGAATGCAATCAATATCTTAAGCGTTAATAAAATGACCAACAAGAGATCTCAGAATACTAAGTATTATTTATTTGTTCATTTCTCACATCCAGGATTTACAATGGTTTATGTATTGCTGTAACTATAAAATCAGAATCGTTTCCTCGCAATCATTCAGAGATGAGTTGATTTTATGTTGAAACAGAATACAAAATTCTATTCTTACCGTCATTATGTCTAATTGATGGGGAAATCTAAGCAATCATTCGACATCAAAGTTATCTGTCATTACACCAAATGGCAGAGTTTGGATCAACATGTTAATTCGTGAAAACCTTTTACAATTTTTTTGTGTGATACATTTCTGAGGATTGATTGAATATCAATTATTTGTTTGAGTCAATTCTCTGTGAAGCCATTGAAAATAATTGAATGATATAATCAGTCATTTTTAGTAACTTTTCAGTTCTACGGTTCGGTAACTAAATAGAAGTGATCCTATCGCCCACCTCCTACTAAGGCTGAGTTAGCAAGTTATGTATGTGTAAAGTGTTCATATACTTCATTACATACATATACATTATTACCCAGGGACCAAGATTATATCCTGAGGCATCAGCCTTTTCTACCAAGGTTTATATAAAAAATTTTTCAGCACTATATAGCAATATATTTGAATCATTTTAGTTCAGTGAAACCGAAATATGGACCTATTGTCACTGTATGAAAGCACATATTTTCAATTCTTAGCCATGACCATGACAACATATATGACAAGTAGTTATCGATAAATACCTACTAGATTCTAGTGCCATTCCTGCGAATCTCTGATCTGAACAGTGCATTCGGGTTGATTACAAAAGAGGTGGCTATGTCTTTATTGGCTAGTGGTTCATAAAATGACGAGAACTACCTTAGGAGTAAAAACTCACTTTACGCCTCGAAAAGGAGTAAATCGATATTTTATACCTAGTGGTGAAAAAAATCTGTTATGTATCGAAAACTTATGAGTCAATATTCTGGGCTTAGTCTATACTTATACAATAGAATCGTTCATGGTAAAAGCGGTATGGAAATGACAATTCTGGAACGTAATTTTGATTTAGGTCATTATTGAGAACGATGGCTCCTCTTTGAACCGACTGCCGAGGTGTTTTGTAGGTTATTTTTATATATTCTTACAGAACTCAAGGAATGGTTGATTCTCAGCTTTGATTGTGAAAAGCTGCTTTCGGGTGATATACTACTTCTAGATGCGGAAGAGAGATTCCATCAGATCAGAATGTGAGATGATACGCTCTGATTTTTAGCGACATGGTAATGCCAAGACATACTGCCAGATGAAGCGATCTGCATGGTATCACCATCAGCAAAGCTTGAACTTATGATTGCATTGAAATTCACTCATCCACATGAATACTACCAGAGATTATACACTTCCCATACTACTGATATCATTGAGATATGGTGTCTGTTAATTAGTCTAACAATATGTGTGATGAGTCTAACGACAAAGAACCCATCAATAGTTAATGCAATCAGTATAATATGTCCGACGTCCGTATAGAATTGGGTATTTTACTGTTGGTGAGGATAGTCGATATAGTATATTTCATTACGAGCCTGGAGATAGGGATTTTTACGTGCACGTGTGACAAATTCGGGAAGTCATGCAAACACGGAAAAATCATTTCTGGATGAGTAATGAACGATATTTTTCATTACACTTCGGTGAAAATGAAAATATAATAATAAAATATTACATAAAAAAGACACAAAAGAAACTTGGAATATTTTCATTTTCACAGTTGTAGGAATGAAAAAACTTGGAACTATTAGACCTGGATTTGATTGGTAATAAATTCGTGGTCGCTTGTGCCGCTTGATGCTCGAGACTATATAGGATATTATCGGGAATTTCGGAATTTTCTTCAGAGTTCATTTTGTCGGCATAAATTTGATTGACAGATAATAAACAATGCTGACAATACAGTGTTTGGCATGTATGATTCATTTCCATGAGTATTCTCAAAGTTTTTCCGTGCGCTCTTTCAATATTACTAATATACAGTGTCATTCATATAGTCGGCATCATATGGGAAAAACTTTTATTAATGACTTATTTTGAAATTCGAGTTGGACGTTAAGTTTTTTAAAAAAGATGAAAAATGGCCTACTCAATCGGGGTCACGTGACTTTCGCTACGTGTCAAAATAAGTGACATTTTTTCAAATTAATCGCTGAAAGTAGGCTGCTTATTTGTTCGAATATCGAAAAAGTTTACTTGAGAAAGTTGTTTCTATTTGAATATTACATAATATGACTCGGATTTTATCTTTCTATTACTTTCTTTAGATTTCGATATTTTTCAAAAATTTTCTAAATTTCTGTAATATTAAAAAAAAATTAAATTCGATAAAACTACTTCGTACCAGTAGCTTCATCGTGCTACTTAATTTCGATTACTAATTATCACTAATTATCGACAAGAATATGATTTTCTTCAGAAAATGATAATCTCTGCTTCAAAATTCTGTCATGTTTTAGTCAAGCATTTAGAAACGAAATTCATTCAAATTTAATTTTTCAGTACTGAAAAGATCAGTTTGAATGAATTTCGTTTCTAAATGCTTGACGATATATCAACTTTGCATCAGACATGAAAGAATTTGGAAGCGGGTATTATCATTTTCTGAAGAAAATTATATTTCTGTCCATAATCAGTGATAATAAGTAATTGGAAGTAACTAGCATGAAAAAGCTACTGGTATGAAGTAGTTTCGTGGAATTAACAATTCTTATAAATATTACAGAAATTTCGAAAAATTAAAAAAAAAATCAAAATCTAGAAGTTGCAATAGAAAAATCAAATTCGAGAAGCATGTGTAAAATTGAAATAGAAACAACTTTCTCAAGTAAACTTTTTCGATATTCGAACAAATAAGCCTACTTTCAGCGATTAATTTGAAAAAATGTCACTTTTGACATGTAGCGAAAGTCACGTGACCCCGATTGATTAGGCCGTTTTTCATCTTTTTTGAAGCAAAACTTAACGTCCAACTCTAATTCCAAAATAAGTCGTTAATAAAAGTTTTTCCCATATGATGCCGACTTTATGAATGACACTGTAGATGAAAACAACTTGATTTCAAAGAAGTGTAATGAAATCGACATTTCATTTGAATTTTACAAGGACAGTAGAGCAGATCATCAATTCTAGCATCTTCGGAAAGGCATCCTGAAATACATATACGCCGGGCGGTAAAGTGATACTTCACGCCCGCAGAACTGGGCAGTGAAGTACGCCCGGTTGTGCATAATAGTTATTTATGTATCAAGGGCACGAAGTAGGCGTTTATGGCCTGCGGCGTGAATAATGGCCCGATGGCGTTAGCCAAGGGCCATTACACGCCGAAGGCTATAAACGCATTTTACGCACGTGATACATACAAAATTTTATGCTCTAGTGGTTTATTTCCCGAGTCACGAGTAATGACTATATTTCCACAAACTACAATTCATAAGTTACTCATAAATTTAGTTTCCAAGAGAAGCGCAATGTTTATGTGTATAATCTACATATTGAAATTACCGTACGAATATCGCAATGATCGTATGAGGAAAACTCTTTGTTTCCAAACAGAGATTCATTCCTTGAGATGTAACAATATGTATACCTAGTATGTACATACCTAAATTTGACGTTGTCATCAATCTGATGGTTGCTGTCTAGCAATACATCCAAAAATTAAGCTGAAATTGTCATCTTTTGGCTGAAAACTTTAGAAAGCCAGAAAGCAACTATTCAAAATAACATGTATCATAATCATAACGATAGAATCAGCTGAGAGTTCAAATATAGGTATTCCACAAATGGATGTGTGGATATAAGGGACTTGAGAACAGCGAGTGATAATGTGCACTTTACCGCCCGTCATATTGGATAAATAACTATTATTTCTGATATCTCTTAGAGTGCACAGAAGGAAATTCCTATAATGGCAATGTTTACTGAAGGATTGATGAGTATTAGAAAAATGAAGTAATAATTGATGTTTTCTGCTCACCCCTCTTAGGCTTATCACTAGTAATATCACTTAATCGATCGCTGAGTAAGTCTTGGGTAAGCGTATCTTGTTCATCCTGATCGAAATTTTCATTTTCGGGAGGGTGAATTGACAGTTTATGGCACACTTCGAATGCTTGACCTACGGTCCTCACTACTCGCATGGCTTGGCTCTGAAACCAAAGAAAATAGAGTTAATGTAATTCCCAACAACACGTGAACTGTAACATATAAACTGAACGAAAGAAGTTTTTGCCATGTCGTTTGCGAAACTACCCTTGATTTTTTTAGATCAGTTTAGTTGAAATTTCGTGGTGAGTTAACAATTTTATATCTATGAATACTAAATAATTAATCTAAACTAGATTCTTCTAGAATCATAACTTTTCTAAATATTATTCAATATGACGTCACTGTCCATTAAAATATTTCGTAATGACGATCTTAAAAGAAGTTGATATCCTCATCATCTTTATGAAGTGATATGTAGACTAGATATTATCAGAAAAAATTAACAACCTTATTCATTTTATCGAAAAAATTTTGAAATTATGATCTAGCACCTCGTTTACGATGTCAAGTAAAAGAAACCACTTTGCTTGATCTAGCTCCCCACCTAAAATGAGTTGAGAAAAGTAAACTATCATTCAATATCTTGAGTTGTACAGTTGTGAAGGATAAGAAAATCAGTTGTCACACACAAGTAGTAAAACAAAGATACCTGTTATACACACTTCAGTGAACCAATCATGTATCATTCTAAATGAACATATTATAGGTATACATATAAGAAAATCCAGCATCTGAAGGCTTCCGCCAAATTAGATTTAGGATGCCTTCAGGTAGGTCATTGTATTCCACCCAAACCCTTCAATAATTTGTTACCCATCTCAAAAAGGATATGAAGACAATGGTAATTCGTCATCGTATTAACGTTCGCTGTATTGGGTTTGGATGATGTATCATATCTCACTGAATTTACCCATCAAATCTCACCATTTGATAAACATGGCAAAAAAGACAATCACATGCGGAAATGCTATCACCGTCCATTTTGTTCGCATATGAGTGTTCAGTCGTCTTCAGAGAACATGTCGCACATGGACGGTGTCACGTACGACATGTTCACTGAAGACGAGTGTACATCCTATAGTATTGTTACATCAGAATCAAGGCTGTGAACAAAATGATATCTCAAATGGATAACGGGAAGTGCGTGTAGGATTCTAATCATTGAATTCCACACAAATCATTAATATCATTATCCATATACAATCAAGACCCTTACATCGCACATGGTCAGTTTGCTGCAGGTGGATGAATGCACTGATGATCTGCAAAGGCTTTTCATCGCCAATAAGATGAAGCTACTTTCCCAGACGCATATTTACACACCACCGTGCTGAAATCTGTGAGCCTGTTTAGCCAATAGTTGATATTACAAAATTACACTAATTTGGGCACACAAATCTTAAATCTATAAAAATGTTCCTGAAAAAATAAACATCACTTTTCAGTGCATCATAATCGGCCTTAACAGTTGATGCCTTCACAGTACTTTTTCCAAAAAGTACATTTTTCGAAAAAAAAAACAATAAAAATTGCCGACTGTCACAGGGATTGAACCCGGGTCGCCGGCGTGGCTTTCGATTACTCAATTCACTAAGACATCAGCCTACTTGAAGTTTTTGTATGAAGAAACGATTCATAATACGCGTGGGTGCTTGATATTGTATTATTCTTTCGTTCTGAGATAACTGATATATGTATTTCACTCGGACTGAACTGAATCAGTTGACATGCATTCTAATTAATCGCAATCTTTCGAATGCAAGCATAATTACTGGTTCAGTTCAGTTCGAGTGAAATATTTCAGTTAGTTCAGATCGAAAGAATATCACTATACTGTTGATACAGGCTCACATATTTCAGGACGCTGGTGGCGTCGTATGGGAGGGTGTATGAATATGCTTCCCGGACATACCGGTGTGCCCGGAAATGAATGGGCCGAGTATTTGGCCAGACAAGAGCAAAAAGCTTAACGATTGAACCAGAACCAACCTTGAAGTTTCTAGACCATGGAGGGTCTCAACCATGAAGCAAATCCTGGAAGTAAAATTCGAGGATGAATGGAAAGGGACTCCTGGCATGAGACAATTGGAAATCCACCTCGCAATAAGGCCCTCTACTAAAAGGGCCAACACTATGCTCACAATGAGCAGAATGGATATCAGAATAGTGTTAGGTCTTTACGGGTCACTGCCAAATAAACAAGCACTTCAACATAATAGGTATATCACGGATGATACATCAGGTTAAAATTTATTTGTAGAAATATTATCATTTGTGGAGTTCTTTACATAATATAGGGTTGTCAAGAAAAAACCGGAATAACGTTTTCGATTAATATCTTCTTTAACAATGGACTGATTCCATCGATTTTGGTTTTGTTAGAAAGAGAATTGAACAAGACAAAACGTCAACTCCATTTTCATTGAATTTCTTCATTAATTAACCTAAACTTGGATTGACTCAAAAACTTGCTGGCACATTTTTGAGTCGCACTGTGTAATTTTGCATGAGATATTCTGAGAGCGTGAACTTTTCTGAACAGAACAAGAGGCCAAACATGCAAATTCGTCAAAAAATAACTGACATATCAGGATGATGACAGGTATGTTTTCATATCTGGATTCCCATTTTCTTTCGTAATTTTGCAAAATAAAGTTGTGTATGAAATCCTTCGGAATTATTGACATTTGTTCATGTGTGTATCTTTTCGGAGGGTCCAAATTCCAAATGATGCTTCTTAATGACAATAAAATATATTTTTCAAACAAGTGCACGAAGTGTTTTATTTCCGCACGCAAATACAGTAAGGAGAAACGACGCGAAGCGAAGTTCGTATAAGTTTTGTGTGTGTTAGGAACACAATATTTACTACGAGCTCCATATCAGATAATAAAGAAAATGAAAAAAAACTTATTGTTTTTGGATGTGTGACAAATTGACATTCATCATACAGGAAAATTAAATCACGAATCTGCGATTGAAGGGTCTATAAAAATAAAAAGTTCTCATCGTTCAAGTTTGTACCCCTATAGATTGGGTGAAAATATTGAAAAGGATTATTCCCAGATTAATTATAAACATAAAAAAATGGATATATACCGGGTGTAACAAGATCATGGTACACCCCCTTTTCCTCTTTTAGTTCTGGAGATGAGTGATAGAAATTTGGAATGACCAATTAACTTGATGAACGTTATGTGGGAACCAGATTATAAAAAAAAATCTCATTTTCCACTGCCAGTTTCACCGGAAGTGATAATAACTTTTGATTTTCAAATGCAACACCCTGTATATCATTGCATATTCGAATTCAGCATTATTTTTTCAATCCAATGATACCTTATAACTAACATTTCAAACTCCAGCAATATTGATTTAAATTCCATTTTTGATTTTCCATTTGAGTTCGCAATGACTATTCCGATCGAGTTTGATGTACTCATATCGACATGTGTAATGCTAAAAAAAATTGATTCCTGTCAAAAATGTAATTTTTTTTTATTTATAACCAAATTGAGTTGGAGAAAATGGTTTGGTGTACCATGATCCTGTTATGTTCGCATTCTCTATAAGTCTATGTGATGAAAATATCAATTTCCTCTATTATTCATTTATTTATTCAACAGAAAACCACTACCATAGTTCTAAATACACACCAACTACTTTTCTGGTTATTTGCCATCACGTCGAACATGAATTGTATCTGTTGAACATCAAAAACGAGAGCATGATAAATAAAAATCCTCTGAAAGTAAGATTTGACATGCAATCTCGGATCGGATTAATAATATGATGTTTTATGATATGAAAATATAACTTACCAATATGTTCAGTATCGGAATAAAAATTGAAATATATAGGAAGATTATACATGTATAAACTCTGATTTGATAAGCTTAAAACTTCCACAAAAATCATTCGAATCAGTGATATGGGAATTATATCTATCAGAAACAGGTTATGTAGCACTTTATTCGAATGAACTCATTTCGGATATCAAACCCTCTTCAGTAACCAGAAGTCCAGTTATATTCTTTCAGTCATTTCACTTTTCTGCAACGATGCGAAAAATACATCGCGCACGCAAATGAATGTAGACAAGTTCTAACTTTCGCACGCTAAAGGAAAAAATGATCAAAATTTCAATTTTGAGAAGATACAGATTGAATGGAATTTCACAACAATTTCCTGCTATGCGACTTTTTTCTGTGGGATCATTTGAAGGCCAGTATTCACAAAAATGAACGAACTTGAAACTCATGGGGAGCATACAGATATTTGACCTTCTCAAAAACTGTCTTTCGTTTATATTAATTCTCCCCTTTTTTTTTCGTAAAATAAATTAGGTAAAGTAGGTATCTCTTATAATTCTCGGGCCAATCTGAAAAGATGAAGATATTATCTTTGTTATGCTAATTCTCAAACAGAAAATACATGCAAACCAACAAACGCAATGAAATTAAAGGTAACAGTTATATTTCGACGAATTAGCATGTTTGGCTTCTTTTTCTGTTCAGATAAGTTCACGCTCTCAGAATATCATACACAAAAATATACAGTACCACTCAAAAAAGTTCCAGCAGGTTTTCAAGTTCTACCAAGTTTAGGTGTGCCCGCCATTTTGTTTTATGGAGAAATTCAATTAATATAGAGTTAATGTTTTGTCCTGTTCAATTCTCTTCCAAACCAGGCGAAAAAATGGTCAATTAATTAGAAAGATATCGATCGAAAACAAAATTCCGATTTTTTTTTGACAACCCTATCAATATATTATTAGAAGATTAATTCACAATTGATTTAAAACATGGAGTTAAATGGAAGCAATAGTTGTTAAACAAATTTATCATTTGTATGAAGGAATGATGAAACAACTTGCATATCAGTCATACAAATAAAGTCAAGTTCAGGTAAGTACCTCTAGATCAACATCCTCATAACTCGGTTGTCGGGAAATACTTTCAATGAAACTTGCATTTTCGGGCGGTATTGGAGGTGATCTATCTTGTTTACCCCTCGGAATGTTTTTGATTATTCGACTTTCTGCATTACTGTCATCAATACTGAGCGTATTCTTATTGATGTCCACAATCTCTGGCAAGCGAAATGATAATTTTTTTCTAGGTCTTTCGAGTGCCAAAGCTTCGGTATCGAGTTTACTTGCACCTCCATCAACACAAAGCTCTGCTGGTCGGTCTCTGTTGGTTATACGAGGTGAGTCAGATATTTGTAACCAAACATAATGCGATTGAAGGGAACTTCCTTTAATTGATTTATCTCAAATTTATGAACATTTGTGGAAATGACTTTGAGCTCGTCTGTATTTATTTAAAATTTCATTCCACTTTGGGCATTGTGGCAATTTCGTCGTAGGAATTTCAAGTGTATCTGAATTATGGTTAGCAACAGCATTTGAATATTTTCGAGAATATTTTAGTGAGACTGTCAACACTGCTGGATTCAATTCAGTAGTGCCTAAATCTTTCGAACCATTCCCATCACGTGATATGTTGAAATTTGTGTTTTTTGATGATTATTTTTTGCAATAACATTGTGGAGGCTGAGTTTGGTCAGGAAATTTCACTCTGATCCTGATCATATTATTATTATGGTGTACTGATTTTGAGAATGTTTTCCCTTCCTTTCGAGATAGAGGATCTCGCTAATGATTTTAAGTTTTTCTGCGAGCGAATGCGCATATGTCCATGATGTATCACGTGATTAACTCTGTGACCAATCTGACAATGAGCTGTAAGCTCTCTACTGTGCAATGAGGTTTGGGAATGGTTCGAAAACTTTAGGCTCTCGATTCAATACAGCCCAATTACCAAACTATAAAAAACGAGAATCAATGAATATGGAATGAAGGAGATATGGTGTATAGGCGATGAAATCGGTCAAGTTAAGTTCAACTTTGTCTGCAATTTGATGGCATCTATGATAGTTCCAAAGACTGCTGAAAAAATAGAAATTGAATTGGTGTCTAGGTTAGAGGAAAATCAAATAATACCGAACAATGAGCCTCTTTCAGTGGAAAATTGGATACCATCATTTTGAAGTACGAACCCACAACTGTTTACTCCTCAGAGATTTTTTGTAACATGAAAAATGCGGGAGAGCGTGTGACGTCATAAACCGCGTTCAATCCATTGCAATTATATATGCCAGTAATAAATATTGAGTATATTTCAGTACAGTCCTACTGTGGAATTGAATTCTCATCTTTATATGTAGAATGTGTGAATATTGTCATTGATTTTTGAGCAATAAAACACAAATCGATGTGTCACGTCATAAAGAGTCAGAATGAATGACTGAATCAGATACTTTCGTTACATGGGATGATCAGAATGAAATAAAAATATGACACATATGCGACTAGTGTATACAACTCTCTTATTTATTACAAATAGTCATTTATTGTACAAGGAAAAAAAAAGGTAGATTCCAGCTGCAGGTTCATGTTTGCTCTTTTCATGATATACTATAGTGTTTTATTTGTGATATATCACTAATATTCGTCTATATTCTAGGAATAATATTTGAGAAGGAACATGCCTACTCTCTCAGTCGTTCCTATAGTTTTAAGAGATGTCTAGGATTCGATATTGTGGTAATGGTATTATTTCCATGGGACGCCTTTGGGATCGAGTTGATAATACCCGGTACATTTCTAAACCGTACTGAAGGGATATCCCATGGTTGTACTATTTGGTAACTAGTGGATGTCTGTGGGTCATTCCTAGTAGGTATAATATGTCCCACATCCTGACAGAGGCTGTCCTAGGGATATCTTCCTAGTGAATGAGAGAGACGTCCCTGGGAGGTCCAGAGAATATATTTGTGATTTTAAGAACGTTGTCATGAGAACAATGCTTTTAATCAATGATTTTGAACCCCATATAGATTGATCAGCAGTTTTTACGGGTAAAAATGTTACAAATGTAATTTTTCTGATAAAAAATTATCAAATGAGACAAGAGTGTACACATATCAAAGATGGTCGAAAGCATCTCCATTTGGTCACAAAGAAGTGACTCACCCTGCATCAATCGGGAAATAGTCATCTTCATCTGTGACTTCGATTTTGATGGGGTAAGAACCCACGGAATTTTGCTTCTGCAGGCCGACAGATCTTTTCTCCTGCTGCGGCTTTGTATTGGCATAGATGTAGTTGTTTTTCGAAGCGCAATTCTTGAAAAAATAGTCCAAGGTCACCTGCGTCTTGGACTTCGTCATACCCTTCGCTTCTGGAAGATTGAGGTTCTTGCTGGACTTGAGGGCATCGCTGAGGCTCAGCAACCGTTTCTTGGCTTTGGATAGAACGTCCTGTTTCTTCTTGATGATCACTTCCTGGTCCAGCATTTCACAGGTGGCGCGAGCTTGATCTTCTTTGATATTCTTGTTCATGACTTGCTTCGATCATCTATTGGATTTTTTTCATTTTCTACATTTCAGCCAGGATTACACACAAACTTACTGTTTTTGAATGAGTGAAAAATTGATATTCGTCATACAGGACGTGGAAAGAAATCCTGAATTGAGAAAACCTAATCGAGAATCTGCGATTGAAGGTCTGTAACAATAACAATTTTTCATCCCTTGATTTGGTGAAAGTATTGAAATAGAATATTGTTGAACGAGCACGGAATGATAGTGATTTCTTACGAGAATGAGGTTTGCAGCATGTTTTCTCTTGAAATAATAACACAATTGATTCATTGTGATATCAGATACGGAAATCAAATTGATGACATACAAAGTACCTCATTGATGTATCGAACACTTTAAAACAAGAGCAATCTTGTGTTATATACAGTCGAAGAAAAAGGAATATTCTCAGATAAATTATGAACATGAAAAAATGGATATATTTATTGAGAAATACATTGAGAATTCGCATTCTTCATGTTATCAAATTATTAATTATTTCTCGATTTATTCAACAAGAAACAACAACTTTCCTGGCTATCCACGACGAACATTGAATTATTTCTATTCAACACACATGATGAGAATTTCAAAACGAAATCTCCTTTTGGATGTTCAACAGATATATTTCAAAATGTTCGACGTGGCAAATAGTCAAGACAGTAGTTGTTTTCTGTTGAATATTCAGAATAATATTGTATGCATATCCATATTTTTATCTGAAGGAGAATGCAAATTCTCAACTTCAGAAGATTTTGTTTTCAAATTCTTATCGTGCGCGGGTTCAATAGATATAATTCAATGTTCGTCGTGGCATAAAGCCAGGAAAGTAGTTGTTTCCTGTTGAATAACCGAGAGAGAATTGATATTGTCATCACATGGAGAATTTTTTTATGTTCATAATTTATCTGAGAATATTCTTTTTCGGAACTTTGTGTTGTTGAAAAAACTGTCAAGATCTCAATACGCTGTATATATACTGTTGAATAAAGTGATATTTTTCACAATGATAGAAATTGCTGTATTTCATTTTTGAAAATAGCCCTTTTCGAATACTCAAATTATACATGGTGTCCCATAATCAGCGTGCAATACTCTGGCAGTAGGTTCCCCGACCAAATATTGAAGAGAACGCCTGAAGAGTCTACTATGTAGATGTTCTTCTATTCCTTGAACTTCCACAATGAGAGATTCGATCTCGTTATGTTTGTACCAGATCTGTGAGAAATTGAGCTGATTTTTATAGAATGACTTCTGTGACATGTGTAGGTACCACAGCGCATTTGTGGATTAAGTAATGAAGGAATAATGAAATTTGCATCCGACTACTTGTGTATTTTTTATCATTCAATATCCACAGAGGGTGATTCTTGTGGCGTATCCGACGCCCCAATTATTTTTTCGTCAACCTCCACAGAAATTCACATTTATTTTTTTACAATTACTATAGATGTCCATAAAGAAGCAAACTGCAGAGTCAATTAAGAATCATTTTCTGATGAACTTAGAAAAATGATTTCTTCTTGAGTGTCAATCTCATATTACTGATATATTCGAATATTCACTATTCACTATATTCTACGCTATTGAAAAATGTTGTTTTTTGGGAACAAAGTTGATTGAAAATGTAAAAAACAATGAATTCAAACATTCATTCCAGTTGCTTCCTGAAATTATCATTGCCATTGAATCAAGTATTTTGAATTTCGGAAACCTTAGCGTACCTATGAAAAATGTGTTCCCAATTGCCTTGGTAAAATAATCTATGACGTCATACCTCCCACAAAAATCACCCTGATGTGATACTTGGGCTAATGGATCGTTTCACCTACTTACTCAAAGTAAAAATAGTGTGTGGTCTATTATTTCGACAGAGGAGGTTAATTAACTTCTGTATTTATCTACGTCTCGAAGAATTGGGAAACGAATAATAATTCACGATTCAGGATTATGTTTTATTTGAAATATTTAACCTCAACACTTTCTGATATGTACTTCAATGATATGGAAATGTACAGAGTTTCTATAAATGATCGTAAATCGTTGTCTCCGTTGTAATGGGAATACAACAAGTTGAAATTATTTTTTCCACGATAGTGCAAAAAATTAGATCTTTCTGCACTCTTCAGTGTTGGAAAAATTAAACATTTTTGCAGAAGTTCAAAAAATACTTCAAATTTCTATTGATTACGAGTGTAATTTGATTTTTTTCTAGTTCGAGTTCATCATATAAGAGCATGGTCACAATAGATTTATAGGTACTTTTCATCGGAACATTATCTTCTAGGACGCACGAAAGGGAATCCCTATAATTTTCGTAAAACATCGTGCGAACACCTAGGGAGGAAAGGGATAGAAGGTATATATAGGAATTAGAATGTTCTTTGAAATTTTGGGGATTATAAATTCTTGGGAATATACTTTCTTGGCAAATAATTCCAAAGCTTCATCATCCACATTTTTTTTTCAATATATCACACGTTTCAAATATGGGATCACTCAACCCCACATTCCATAAAAAAAATCCTCCAAAATGGCTTTCCACTCGAAAGTGACTAAAATATAATCATATCAGAAAATTCCAAATTCTGAATTAGTTGATTGAATCTCCAATGATCAATGGATATTCAGTAGATATTTATTACTATTGAATGGAAGAAGCACAAAGTCATCTGCATGACTTTTAATTTGAACACATCAAATCTGGTACATGTTTCAACTTTGGACGTTTAGATGTTTATTATATACAGGGTGATTCAAAATAGGATGAAAAAATTTGAAGGGTGTATTGTTAAGATCAAAATATAGTTATTTGCTTTACTAGGCAGGAAAGTAGTAGATTGACTGCCGCGGCTGACAGTTCAGGAATTCAGCCAAGGCAGTCAATCAACATTTACTGCCGTGTAAAACATATAATTTTTTCACCAAATGTTATGAAACCCATTTTGTTCACCCAATGTCAGTGTCAATTTTGGTTACCGATTTCATTAGAATTTATTGGAACGGTGCATAGCTACAAACTTTTTCTGCCTAGGCAGTAAAAGTACACCTTTAATGCCTGTTGAGTGTCATTGGAAAGCCACTTTCCCTGACGCTTGGAGAAGAAGACTTTTACTTCATATAAATATGAGTCCTAAAATGCACCCCCCTCCAAGTGAATAAAAGTGCAGACCCCCCACCAACTGGATTTAAATAATTTTTGAAGTACGAAAGAGATGAAATGTCAGAAAAGACAAGGGCATGCCAATTTTCAGATGATTTGATCCATTATTTCAGTCACAATTTCAGATAATCATTTTTTTTTACCTATAACTTAGAGTTGCCTTAGCTCGGTGGGGGTGCATTCAAGTACATATGTTCATTTGAAGAAAAAGCCTTATTCTGATCCCAACAATATGCATGTCCTTAAAATATTTACATCAAATTTTGAATCACCCTGTTTATTCACTAATGACTTCAATGGAATATTCATTCATTACTTCGTATTATTATCTGCACCTTGACCACACGTAACTGAATTCATCTTAAGAAAAAGAACATGAAGAATACTCTCACATAAAACAATATGTCCTTAAAATATTTACATCGAACTTTGAATCACCCTGTATATTCACTAATGACTTCAATGGAATATTTATTCATTACTTCGTATGCACCTTGACCACACCCAACTGAACAACAAATAACTTCATGTGGTCTGTCGACTCTGCTGTCAATGTTGTCAGCCAGTTTTTGGCACCAGAAAAATACATAATTGAGTTATTCCTTGAGAGATAAAATGCCAACTTTAGAACTTCTCTCGATAGATTTGATTATTATAATCTTCAGAAGAAAACTATCAACGCTATCACTATATATTATTCATGTTATCTCGCGAAATATTCATTATTTTTTCATCATCACATGATATTTCAAAAATAGAGATGGCAAATCTGTTGGCGTTAAAAAATATAAAATTGGAATTCAATCGCTAAGGATAAAAACATGTATGTACATGTACATTAGGGCATTTTGTGCTGCTTCCTCGATATCACTTGGGAAATCTGAACTTGAATCACACATTTTTCACTAATGAAAGTAATGAAGAGAGAGTATATTTCGTGAATTGCGTTGCTGATGTGTAACCACATTTGTGTTTGATGGATACTTCAAAGTGACGTGCGGAGTCAACTTGCCTACTAAATTTTGTATATAATCGGCAGAATTTATATTCAAGCGAAATTTTACATCAAAATCAGAAAAAATAAAAATATTACGTACTTAACTAGTTACGAAACGTATTTCATGCGCAACTATGTGTTTTGTCTTGCAAAATCCGATCCGATCTACCAATCAGTTACCCTTATGGAAATGTCTGAATTAACCATAAAATATGTCCCGTTTCCCATATACGTACGCCACAAGGCAAATGACCGTTTTCAGAAAGAAATTTGAGAATGAGAATTGAAAATGCCCGTTTATTATGAACATTCAAGAAAATTTCCTCGAATTCAGAGATGATTTTGTTGACTATAATATACGAATACAAAACTAACTGCACAATCAAAGCTTTTCTATTTTTCCTCTACTTGTACTTTTTATGAGAGAGTAATTGTCTTCTATTATTAATTCATCATTATAAATTGAGCTCTGTTTACTAATGAACTTAGATGGAGTAAAATCCTCGCGGTGAATTGCATATACCCACATTTTCGATAGCTCCCCGTCCAACGGGAAACTAAAAGCATGAACTTTTGAACCACCCACATAATTCCCCCGACAAAAGGGAACACAACACTAGAAAGGCATTGTTAATTCGCCGATCACAACACAAAATATTTCACAAAACAGTAATTTTTCGCCAATTTCTTTTGATGAATAAACAACAAAAGAATTCGGGACCGTTTCAAAAACATACGTGAATCACCGATGAATGAACACGAACTGTCGCGTTAGTCGACAAGCGATAAAATAAAACACTGGCCTCTCTTGGTGACGTCACGAGC